TGCTTTTAAGAAGTTACCCAGACCACACCACTAACTTTAATGGTAGTCTGTCTGGACCTGCTGCCTAATTCACGTAGTCCATGTGAATGAAACTGAATATCTCAGGCCTGTTTTTGTTGTCTGTGCTTTCTCTTAACCATTGTTGTGTGCTTCATTGCTTTGTGAAACTCGGGATAGCCTGGACCTTTGAAACCACCAAGAGATGTCACATTCCTCTCTGTTGGATGCCAATGGAAGGTTCCAGAAGTCCCTGAGAGCCAAATTGTATCAGGGTGTCCTCTCCCCGGGGTCAAAACACTACGAGACACCGTGTATAAATATTGTGTGATGTGATGTCAATCCCGAAGAACAGTGGCTCAGCCAGTGAGGGTTGGTTAATAATGAAGAGCTTGTGTATGAAACTCGGCAGTCTGGTTGCGGGCAAGCGAGTGGTTTAATTGTAATTTATGAGTCATTGCTGATGAGCTGCCTTTTCTGACCTCCATGCTGCTTCTTATACCATGACCCATCACTGTCCCCTGAGACGTGGCTACTGCGGTGAACACAGTCCCTCCAAATAGTCCTCATATCAAGTTGGGAGTGGGGGGGAGGCACTGCTTTGATTGGCAGTTCCAACTCACTGTTAGTTCTCCAAGCCCTGCTTTGGGAAAAGGTACTGTGATTTTTGGCAGGGAAAGGCAGTGTGCACACCTGGGAGGAGAGGTGCTTGAAGAAGTGGAAACAGCAGGAATTTAAATAAAAACTGTCTAGCTCTTGGAATATGAAGTACAAAAACCACACCACTGAAAAGCTAAAAAAAGTGCGATATTCATAATTTCCCCTAACAACAAATACATTTTTAAGGTTTTTAAATTTTAAGATATTAAGAATTTTTCACTGTGATAAGGATTCATATAACTCGTCGTCATTAGTCTGAACAGGACGATCACTTTAATTCACAATAATTAATTCTAACTTGGCTTTGAGAATTCTAACATGGTCTTAGTTTGAGTTTCACCCTTGAGAAATGCTTTCAAACTAGTTTTCCTTGACTGTCTAATTCTCCCAAACTCTAGGTCTGATGGTATGTTTCTAGACTAAAATGAGTTACTGAAAAAAAAAATAGAAAGAAAAAAGAGAAAAAACCCAAAAAAACAAAAAAGTGGGCTTTTGTGAACACATGGGTGTGCCCTGCCATTTGATTCTGGCTGTAACGGTGTGTGTGTTTCCCTGTGTTTTCCTCTTTTGTAGGTCTGCCATCCGCACGTCTGGCTGCCCCTAACCTCACCGTGGAGGAAGGAAATTCGGTCACACTTTCCTGCAGTGTGGCGGGTGATCCACTCCCCACGCTGTACTGGGATGTTGGGAATTTGGTTTCCAAACACATGGTAAGGCTTGCGTTTAGGTCTGTCTTCTAGTATGATAGTAGGGAGAGCGCAATAGGCACACTGATGGCCACTCTCTTGGATTCCTTTTTGTTGCTGTGATTTAAAAAAGGCCCAGAAAAGAGCGTCTTAAAGGAAAAGGGTTCATTGGGTGCCAGTTCAGGTTACAGTCCATCATAGCTGGGAAGTCATAGCCTCAGGAGCTTGAAGGAGCCGGTCATGTTAAGTTCACAATCAAGAGCAGGGACAGGGACCCAATGCATGTGTGCAGCAACTCAGTTTTTCCATCAGTTCAGAATCAAAATAGTTTCACCTGAATCACCCACTGTAGTTAATCTGGTAGGAAAATCTCTCACAGCCTCACCTAACCCCAACAGTTCTTCATTGAGATTCCTTCCCAAGTGATCCTGAACTGTCAAGTTGCTGATTTTTACCAACCATCAGAACCACCCAATATTTTATAGGCCCAGATGTAGAATATTTTTTGTTTTGTTTTAGGTTTTTTTGAGACAGGGTTTCTCTGTGTAACCTTGGAGCCTGTCCTGGAACTTGCTCTATAGACCAGGCTGGCCTCGAACTCACAGAGATCTGCCTGCCTCTGCCTCCCAATAAAATGAATTTTAAATGTCATTTATTTTCTATTTATCCTTAATTAGATAAGGCTAATCCAAGATTACATTTTAGTTATCTGTCCATATTAGACTAGAGGAGAGTCTTAATACATCCTATGCCATTCTTAGCAAGGAAGTGACAGCGATGTAGTGTTTGCCCTTGGAAGAAGGTAGGTAAGAATCCAGGGATTCAGTCAAACAGACACTGAGCAACTGAACCCAGGGCCAGCAAATAACTTACGCTTACTCAAGTCTGAAACCTGTAAGAAAATGTGTGTGTGTGTGTGTGTGTGTGTGTGTGTGTGTGTGTACATGTGTGTAAGAGAGCGTGTAAATATGCATATGTGTGTAAGTGTGTATATATGTGTAAGTTTGTGTGTAAGTGTGTGTGTAAGAGAGTATGTAAGTGTATGTATATATGTGTATGTGTGTGTGGTGTGTGTGTATGATGTGTATAAGTGTGTGCTTGTATGTGTGCATAAGTGTGTGTGTAAGAGAATGTGTGTATGTATAAGTGTGTGTGCATGTGTGTGTGTGTGTGTGTGTGTGTGTGTGTGCCCCATTTCAGGAAGAAAAGTTGACACTTTGGGATTGAGTCTAATCAAGGTGTTTTTTGTCTTAATTTCTTTGTAGAATGAAACGAGCCACACACAGGGCTCCTTAAGGATAACGAACATTTCGTCTGATGACAGTGGGAAGCAAATCTCTTGTGTGGCAGAAAACCTCGTAGGAGAAGATGAAGATTCTGTGAACCTCACTGTGCATTGTACGTAGTGAGTGAGAGTAGTGTGTGTTTCCCTCGGTAGTGACCGTGGGCGTCCCGCCTTCGCCATCGGGGAAGTCTGTGGACTGCTTAAGTTAGTGACCTCAGAGTATATTTCAGGCTTTTGTGTGTGCTTCACTAAGAAATGTCAGCCCCTGGTTCCCATCCTGAGGAGTCTGTGTAAGGAGACCACTTAGTCTGTGGACTGCTTAAGTTAGTGACCTCAGAGTATATTTCAGGCTTTTATGTGTGCTTCGCTAAGAAATGTCAGCCCCTGGCTCCCATCCTGAGGAGTCTGTGTAAGGAGACCACTCGCTGGAGCTTAATTCCCCAAAGCATAAGGTGCTGCACACATTTCAAGTCAGATAATTGCCAGGCTGTTTTTCAAGCTCAAATTAGACCTCAGACATTTCAGGAATTAAAATGTGGACATTTAGAAACTAGTAAAATTGGACCACACTGTGATTCAGCACATCTAAAAGTATATTTGCTATTCAGCAGCAAGAGAAGTTTTAAGGTTCTCACACTTCGTGCTGACCAATCAGTGACAACAGCAATATTCATTGTGGATGAGTAGAGTCCATTTTACTGTGTGATCCATCTGATCAGAGACTCAGGGACCATTTCCAAAGTTAGCAATTCTTATAGCAATTTTAATTATTTAAGGAAGAATTTCTAATGAAAAGTGTCTCATTATTTATGATGAATCCATATACCATTAAGATGTGTGTGTGTGTGCTTGCACAAAGCCAAAGTAGAACACTTCCTACCATAGAGTCTTGCTGTGTTGTGTAAGTCATATGAGCAGAGAGGGGTAAGTTGCTTCCTGAAGCTCCTGGAAGGGAGTCGAATCAGTCAGATGATACAGAATGATTGACCTAGGTTACGGATTGTGGGTTTCCTTAAATTAAATAATGGTTAAATAAACACCCTTCTTAATAACCCAGAACTCAGTGGGAAGAACCCCAAGCTTTCTGGTGCTATTAACTCTTTCTCTTTTCCTTTAGTTGCACCGACCATCACATTTCTCGAATCTCCAACCTCAGACCACCACTGGTGCATTCCATTCACCGTGAGGGGCAACCCCAAGCCCACGCTCCAGTGGTTCTATAATGGGGCAATATTGAACGAATCCAAATACATCTGTACTAAAATTCACGTTACCAATCACACGGAGTACCATGGCTGCCTCCAGCTGGATAATCCCACCCATATGAATAATGGAGACTACACTCTGATGGCCAAGAACGAGTACGGGAAGGATGAGAGACAGGTCTCTGCTCACTTCATGGGCCGACCTGGAATTGAGTATGGTGAGTACCTGGAGGTTTTGCACCTGGGGAAAGGGTAGAGTGGTTCAATAAGGCACTGGACTTGAAAGCCACCTGGCCTGGTTTTAATGTAGCCAGCATTGGTGACACAGCAGATCTGCTCCTCAGCAAGTGTGGAGTGTAGACAGCTAAGAAGTTGAAGACCTTGTTGAGATGGCTCCTCTTACAGTCTAAAGTGATTGACAGGGCGAAGCTGTGTCAAGGAAGGGGACCACTGTGACCCCCAGAAGGTAGGGGATGGACAAGCCTGGGCAGTGATCAGCTCCACACAGCATTCCTGGCAGAGAGAGCGTTGGTAGGTCATGAGAAGATTATTCTTACCATCACGTCCATGTTTGATGAGATCTCTCGTCAAGTGCTGAGTCCCATGGAAAACCAAGAGCAGAGGAATTGGCTGGCTCACAAAATATTCAAGATTTACTTCTGACCCTTGTATCCATTTGGGGTCAGAATCCCACCTTCAGATTTGTGGCCAGAAACCAATACTGTGTATCTTGCTTACCTGGCTATGGTGTGCCATCTTTTTATCAGAGGAGGAGATGGCCCTGCTTGACCATCAGCAAAGCTTCTGTCAGCTAGGGCTCCAGTGATGGAGTGACAATTGTCACACTTTGCCACTTCAGAAAAGTGTCTTGTCCTCTCTGTCTTGTTGCTCAGGCGATTGGTCCATTGTAGGGCTAGCCTGCTTTGTGATGTTAAGACCTGCCTGTGAATAGAACTCTTCGCTACAGTAGCAGTGAGTTAGTCTAAGTCACATTGGTGATGTGGCTGAGTGAAATGGAAAGAGAACGGTGGACTCTGAAGCAGTGGACTGTCTGGACAGCTTTCACCCGTGGGGCTCGCAGGGCAGTGTTGTGGGCAAAGGTGATCCATGCAAAACTACCTTCATTCCTGCAAAGTGAATTTGTCCAGCAATAAACAGGAGTGTAGTCGGGCTCTTTCTGTCAGAACCTCCCCTTTCCTTGGTATTTTCTCAACAACTTCTAAACATACAGGCTTCCTGAGCGTGTTCGAAATGTAACTTGAATTATGTCGGTTTGATTTACCAAAAGCCCTGCAGGAGGACATAAAACAAGAGGTGCTGGGAAGCACCACCCAGACACCCCTGGTTATTGTAGTCATTCCCATTAAATCTTCCTCTTAATTGAGAGTTGAGCTGCTTGCCTGTGTTGGCTGTGGTAAGTCCCTAGATGGGCGAGCTGCTTTCTGTGTCTTTTGGGAGCAACAGCTTCGGAACAAAGCCAGACACTCCGACTTGGGACTGCGGCTTCATATTTGTTCTTCAGTAAAATTTTTATTTGTGAGTAATTTTAGATTTATAGAAAAGCTGTAGACAGTCAGAGAGTTTCTGGAAACTTCTGCCCAGGCTTGCCAATGTTGACATCTTCTGTTATTGTGGTCCTTCTGACACGCAAAGTATGAACCGTCACTGGTGTGTTATAATTCACCCAGCTTTAGGCTGTGTTTGGATTTTGCCATCAACAGCTTTTTGAAGCTCTTTGGGATGAAACTTGACTCATGTGAAGGCCCAGAGCTTGAAAGTTATATAAAGCCAGTCTATGTCCTTTGAAATTCACACACTGAAGGGCCAGTTTTAGCTGTGTTTTCCTTTGAACATTCTCTGTGGTGCTAATATTTGGTGGGACTAAATGTCTTTTACCCATGTGGCCTCATTTTTAATGTATCAGTTGTTAGTGTTGTTTTCTGGCTTGGTCATTACTTGGGGGGGGGGAGTCGGGGGTCGTCTCTCAATTATTTAAAAAACATTTATTTAAAAAATTCAACTAAATTTTTATTTATTTATTTATTTATTTAGTGTGTGTGTGTGTGTGTGTGTGTGTGTGTGTGTGTGTGTGTATGTACAACTCATAAGAGTCAGTTCTTTTTTTCCACCACTTGGACCCTGGGGTCATCAGACTAATCAGGTGCCCAGGCCCTAAATTAAGTAGAATTTTGTAAAGTTGTTCTTCCTCTGCCTCATTCCTGGTACTCACCTACTCATTTTTACTATGTCTTTAAAATAAACATATGGGGCAGAGAGGATGGCTCAGGAGGGTAAGCACACTTGCTGAGAAAGCGGGGCAGACTGGGTTCAAATGTCCAGCATCCGTGCAAGAGCTAGACAATGGCGGCCTCTTGTGCTTGTGCCCCGAGTGCTGGGAAACTGAGGCAGGTGGGTCCTGAGAGCCTGTGGGCCAAGCCACCTAACTGAAAAGGGGAGGTTCAGACTTGGTGAAGGACCCTGTTTCAAGACATAGGGTGGAGAGCGAGCGGGAGAGACGCCTGGAGTCCTCTTCCGGCACCTGCATGCATTCATACAAGGAGCACAGACCTACAAACATGGAGCGTGTGCATAGATGGGCATGCTCACACAATAAAAAGGGACAGCAAGAGAACTGTTAATATCTGCTTGGAGAAAAGACTCATTTATTTCTGTCTCTGTTTATTCAAAGGCCAGCAATCAAGGAATAACAAATGAAAGAGAAAATTATGGGGACTTGGTCTTGGGTGACAGTAGATATGGAAGACCCTGGTGGGCCATAAACCACTGTGACTAATTGGAGGTTGTCCTCAGTCAGCTGTGGGATGGAGTCTTGCTGGGTATTTATGAGATTCGCAGTCATAGCGTTCACATAACAACCTTCCTTAGAATCAAGTCCATTCTTTTCCAACCCCCTTAAAATTAAAAACAACAACAACAACAACAACAACAACAACAAAACAGATAGAGAGAAGAAACATAGCCATCATATCCCCGGTGGTGCATTCCACACCAAGGACAACAGAAGGTCAAGTCTGACTTTTTATTCCTTCAGCATTTCTGCTGTCATCAAGTAGTGATTTGTGGCCGTTAGCTCTCACAAATCTTTGTGGTGAGAATTAGTCTAGTTTCCCTGGTGGTATTTTTGATGCTTATAAAGGGATGGGGGGAAGAAAGTCTGACCTATAGTATGAACAGCACTAGTTCATTGTGATATCAGGTGCCTTTCCACACAAAGCCACAAGAGTGAGTACAGCAGTTTGGCTATCCTTGGGGGGGCGGGGGGCGGACGGGACGGGGACACAGTGTGTCCCTTACTCATCTTAGCTTTCTAATTAATAGTTGCTCTGTTTTAAGAGACAGAGAATGAATAATATGGAAAGAAATCAAAATATAAACAAAACCAAAAATTCTCTACATCAAAAATTTGCAAAGTTTGAGTTAGATGGCCTAGGCTAGGCTGAGTTATTAATTTTTTTAATCACTATTTCTGGATAGGTGAAGACATTGCCTGGTGTCAGACATTGTGCTTTCACTTTGGAGGAGGGAAGGGTGTCTAGAGGAGCAGCTGGGTTGCTCAGGCCCAGGGTGCTGTGTGTAAGATCCGAGTGGTGTGAGGTTGGCACCAGAGAGACCCAAAAATGCAAGGTCTCCATAAAATGTCTTTGGACCATAGTACCTGACTACAGGGACCCTCCCAGGGTGATGTATGGAGTGGCAGGTGCCATCTGGTCTATAGGTGTCCACAAGACCCAGGTCCTTTGCCAGATGTTAGCTACTGAAAACCTTGGCTAGTTCATGAAAGACAGAAGGAACTTTTGCTAGGTTCCAGGCATTGCAGTTGGCCATTTTGGGTCCTGCCTTTAAGAACTGAACCTGGCTCCGGCTGTTTTGGCCAGTGTTCAGAGCAGAAGAGGCAGCTTTCAGCTGCTGAATGGAACTGAGAGAGCTACAGTGTTTGCCTGTCTAGTGCACTGAGGAGCACAGCTTGTTGAAATTGTGGAAATTTTATTTTATCTTTGGTTTTCATTGTCCCTGTAAAATCAGCTTCCAGGAGCAGTTGTCCTTGGCTCCAGCATGATGGTCGGCTGGAGACTTTCAAGCAGTACTTTTGTTTTACTTCAGTTTAGTGTGTGTTCCGGAGGCTTGACCCTAGCTTTTCTGGCTTAGTAGTTCTCAGGTGAGCCTTTGGCATCTCCCTTTTTAGGATATTCAGGGAGTACCCAAGGGTGAGTACCCGCTCCTGAGGAGTAACAGATAGTCTTTCAGTTGTTCTGGGCCACAGAAGGAATCCCTGTTAAGAAACAGTTTGTCCTGGTCTGGAAAAACGGTTCAGCAGTTAAGAGCACTGGCTGCCACACCAGAAGACATGGGATCTATTCCCAGCACCCACATGGTGGGTCACAACTGCCAGTAACTCCAGTTCTAGGGGATCCTGTGCCCTTTTCTGGTCTTTGTGAGCATCAAGCATGCACATGGCAGACAGACATGCAGGCAAATTACCCATACACATAAAATAAACATAAATTTAAAAATAGTTTATCACATTGGAGATAAAAATTAAGTCTGGGTTTGATATCTTTCCCACGTTCCCCTCCTTCTTGCCCACGTTCAGCTGGGTATTAGACCTAGAATTTACTGAGACTTTAGCCCCCTTGTTTCCTAGGTGATGGAGTGATATGGAGGAGGACAGTTGCTTGGAGCCCTTCAGACTTAGGAATGTTCTATGGTATCAGTGGACTTTCTTCCCTGGAAGACTTTGTGTGTTCTTGTGAAGACAGGAGCAAACACATCTCTACTTTAGCTAGCAGGACTAACTCCCTTTCTATGAGGACTTTAGTGTCATTGGGGTCCTTCTGTATTTTCAGGGAGTCTAGGACATGAGAGTGCCACAGAGACTTAATCCCTTGTTGGTGCCATATGGCCCCAGGGGAATACCCCAGATTCCTTGACCTGACTCTTTGAGGGGTACAGGTTGAAACAAATGCTATCCACACACCATGGCTGTCATCAGGCCTGGTCATCTGAGCCTGCCACTTCCAAGGAGCACAATGGATGCCCTCAGAATGGTTCTGTTGGGGACTACCGAGTGAGAGCAGCTCACAGCACTTCCTGAAGAACGCTTAGTAGGTCCTTGTTCTCCCCCTGGGACTACTTATCGCCAGGGGATGAACTAGATGACATGGGTACAGTTTTTAAACCAGTTTTTTTGTTTTGTTTT